AACACAATAACTAAGAAAATGACATGAAGGCTATGTTAACCAGTTTGATGGAAGTGTTTCAGATTGTGTGTGAAAACCCCACACTGTACCCCAGAAGTGCATTAATGTACATAGTTACCATTCAATAAAAATAAATAAATAAATAAATAAATATAAATAAATTTTAAAAGTTAAAAAAAATTAAAATAGTAGAAAGTAAAGATTTGATAGAAAGGATAAAAATATAAAGGTGATGAATTCTCTCTGAAAGGAGAATGAAAAGACAAGGAGATGAAAAAGGTGAGGAGAGGGAAGATGAGAAAATTAGAATAGGCCAGGGACATTTATTATCTAGAAAATAAAGTTCCAATGGGAAAGAAGAGAGAAAAGAGTGGGGAAGAAATAGGCAAAGAGAGAAACCATGCGAATTTCCCAGAAGTGAAGGGCTTGGGTTTCCAGATTGAAAGGGCCCTGTATGTGTCAATGTAAAAAATGAATATAGACCCAGACTAAAGCACTGAGATTTCATTATGAAATCTCAGAACGAAAGAAAAATACTATAGGCTTCCATAGAAGGGGAAAAATGGTTTTGTAAAATCAATTGTAAAGCAGAATCTTTAGCTTTCTCAGTATACTCAAGAGTCAAAAAAAAATCAACCAAAGCCTCCAAAATTCAATAGGGGCTTATTTCCTCTCTAGAATTGTATTATCAGGTATACCACAACAAAATGTCAGTACAATAAAATAAAATATTGATTTACAATAAAGTAATATTTTTAAAATGCTCAAATATACAGAGCTCTAGGAAAAAAAAATAACCACATCTAAGGAAAATGGCAGCTATTCCCTACCCAAATGAGGAAATAAATCAAGAGTTAAAAAGCCTTTGGAATACAAGAAATTCAACACAAGAGACACAAGAGAATTTTCATTGTCATAATATAAGGAGATCCCAGGACAACAGCTATGCAAAATAGTCTGAGAATATTGGAATGGATCAGAGGATCCATTAGTGATACCTTCAAGGCCATGAAATTGATGGACTACTCAACATGCTGAGATTTAGATATTTGTGGGTAGAATTTAGAGTGAATTGGTGATAAAAATTAAATAATTAGAAAGTTAAGCCAACAACACACAAAAATGTCTATTATCAACTCTTAAGAAGTTGGGAAGGAAAGGAAATGTGACTTTAGGAAACAATGTGTCTCAGCTATAAATAGCATTCGGTTGTCATAATACTGTTAACAATAAATATGTATCTAGCCAAAAGTATAATAGAACTATACGGAGAAGACAGGAGGACAAAAAGGTGCTGTTGTTCAAGTATGGGGGAGGGAGGGTGGTGGTGGTGAGTGTTGGTAGTAAAAAGACAGCTGAATCCTCATCTCCCAAGATCAGATTCAATGGCAACGTCTTAGATCAATAGTATAAATATGATAGTTAGAAATGAATGGCCAGCAGAGTTGAAAGTGACAACCTCTAAGAGTGTAAAAGGTGTGTGTATGTGTTGTGGGTGGTCATTGATTATGAGAGATTTTGTACGTATGTAATTTCAATGTAACTATAAACTAAACTTCTTAAAAGGTCAACTAAATTGCAAACTATAGTTTTGATAAAAGGAATAAAATTATAATTTCTCATTTCTTATTTTTTCTTTGTTCATTGGATTACATAACTTGCCCCATTTCTAAGCACTTGAAATACTGAATATGTTATTGAGCAATCAATGGGCTGACTGCCTGATGTGCATAGATGCCACTACCATGGCCCTGGCCTTTGAGAAAAGAAAAACTTTATTGCAAGTTGACCGGCAATGAAACAGGAGAAAATGCTAGAATCTGTCTCCCTGAGTAGGGGTGAGGGCTGAGTTGAGTTGTATACGCATGGGGTAATGAGGCATGATCTGACTGCACTTTGCAATGAGGTAACACTAGGAGGCATGATCTGGCTGGATCTTGCCATGAGTTGATGCCAAGGTTGGATCTGATTACATTCTGGATCCTGCCGTGTAGTGTCTACTTCTTAATTCAGTCCCTCCTCTTTGTCCCCAGCACTTCTGTTTCCCCCATGATTGCATGCTTGGTTCATCTGGGCATACTTAGGTTATGTGACCTTCAACCTGGTGGTCCAAAGCAAATGAAAAACAACTCACAACTTTGTTAGATAAAACTTGAGCCAGATTGGTCTAGTGTGTTAACAAATAAACGGACGATGGCAAGAACTTATATAAAAATGGAACTTTGGCCCACAATCTGCAGCAACCCAACCAGCTCAAGAAGTCCAGTCATTACCTATAGTAACCAGTTCCTGAAGCCAGCATGCTGTACGTGAGACCTGTAGGAAGTCAGACTACCTGTCCAGGAAATCAGACAGTAACTGCTGCTGCATTCAACCCCAAATGGACAGAACTTGATTAGCCACTGTCAATTTTCCTAACTTTTGTCCCTGCTTACAACTTAAGACCAATCAGAGAAAGTCAATCTCTAACCAATCACGTGGGATGCCCTGCTCCTCGTTGGCCACCTACAGCTTCCCTAGGCCAACAGCCTCCAATTACCTCATTTCAAGGTGCAGTCAGATCATGCCTCATTACCTGCAGCCTTCCTTTCATCTGCTTTACGGCTTTTCCTCGCCTCTGCCTGCCTTTGAGTCTCGGCAAAATTCAAATGATAGTGGCTGACTCCCTCGCTATAGCAAGTTTGGAATCAATGTCCTTTGCCCATTCTCATTTAGTTGGTCTTTATTTATTTGCAAACATTATTTTGAAGCATTGCAAATTTTCTTTCTTCCGAGGGGCATAATTTTCAAATATAATTTTCAAATATTTTATTAGACAATTTTTAAAACATGCAGTACAGTTGAAATAACACAGAATTATATAGTGATCACATTCACCACATACATTTTGTCATTTTTTTCTTCTTCACATGTAGAGAATTTGTTCATAGGGAGGCTACAGGTTTTGTGTCACTCATTACGATGACCCCAGATTCCTGTTGGGTGTGTTATAAACAGCTATTCTTTAGGCCCCTTGCTCTGAGCACACCCCTAGAGGAATTGCAAATTTTCAAAGATTGAAAACCACTTTGCCAAGAATTTATGCCCACTAAACTGATGATCCATATTCAAGGAGATTTAATAATTTCTTGAAAAAAGTCTTTAGATTTATTCATTCGCATGTTGTACTCTATTTCTAGTATGAAGTGCTGCACTGGGTATTATGGAAAATGCAAAGATAGATGAGATAAATTGAGTATTTCACTTAATTTGGTTTAATAAGTTTAGAGAACTCAAAGCTGTATTCAGACTTTTAAGAAAATGTACAAAATTTTAAAAAGCAAGTTGTCCAAAAGATTGAGTTATATACTTTCACATTTTTCATTTTGCATTTTCTCTCAAAAAGTCCAGTTTAAATTTTCTTACTTAACTATCTTGCCATATGACTAAAATTTGCTTTTTTACCCTTGAAATCTCTTTGTTTACTACTACAAATGTAAGTGTTAACTGTATTTCATTCACTCATATCTTTCCTTTGTGCTTTAGAACTGAATTGCAGATGTCCTAGGAAGGGGCACATATATGATTATGGAAAATTGTCCTGTTGAAAATAACAGTAGCTTTTATAGTGATGTAAATCTGGGCAAAAGAAATTGAGGTTGGAAAAACAGATGTATTCAATAAAAAAACAACTGTGTGCACATGGTAAACTAGTCTTTAGCATGATTCAAATAATGCAATCAGTAGGAACTTGACTGCCCTGTGGAGTTGTCAAAGGCCTGGGATGTTCAAATAATAGCTAGAAATTTGTTGTGGACACGAGGCTATTAAGCCTGTCTCCTGCTGCATTCAGTATAGTAGTAAAAACTATTATTAAATAACTGATTTTATAGCAACTGGTAAAATTATGTGGCCAAAGTATAAATTAAAGTTTATGATGGATGCAAATGTATGTCTTAAAGTGTATAATACTAATTTAGGTTCCTTTCCCATTTTAAAATAACCACTCAAATGAAAGAACAGTGATTACCAAAATAAGAGCAAATTAATAAGACTGCCAGGAAGACTTCTTAAAAGGGTGAGACATTAAATGTGCCTTTACTTTTTAAACACAGAATCCCACAATTATCAGAGGTCTTGTCCCTAGCCAAGTGCACATAACACCCATTAGCAGTAATAGAGGTGACGCACGATTTTAAGAAACAATGAAGGTGCACAAGTGACGGGTCTGATTCCTTGGAGCTTTCTGTGTCACATGTTGACACCCCCTTCACCCGGAAGGTAGAATTGAAACTGATTAACCAACTGATGTTGGTTAACCTTTCTGGCCTTCATTTCTACCTGCATCATCTCTTCCCTCACAGTCTCTGAAATAAAACTTGTCAGTTTATAAAATTCTTTAGTATATGAGATATCTCATATGTAGAGATGAATAGCTTTTCTGGTACAAGGATAGAGACTAATCCTGTTTTACCTCTTTAGTCGGTCCCTTACATCACAGTGATTTTCAAACTTGGAAACTGTCTTATCGTTGAAGATTTTTAGAAATGACAGATTCCTAAGCCCTATTCTGTATTTACAGAAGGTCTAAGGTTGGGTATTGGGGTACTCTATTTCCTAACGATCCTCAAATCATGAAGGGTGGGCGACTGAGTGCGGTTTGAGAAGTGGTAGCACCACCCTGTAATATCTAACTCTATTTAGCAAAGGGTAAGCTTGTAATATATATTGGAGGATAGAACAATTTTAAGGAGGATTTAAAATATATATGAATTTTATGCATATATTATGTACTACACATTATACATGTACATACATGTTAGGTACAGATTATATATGATGTATACCACATATAACTTATATATACATATTGTAGATATTATATTATATATATATATATTGCATATAAGGGATGGCTATAAAGTGGCCAAATATGTCCACCCTGTATATAGTTTTGAAAATCTTCAACTTGACTATACCTCCAACTCAATGTAAATATTTATCTAATGCATTTTAAATAGAAAATATGTCGAGTCCCTGAGATTAGTAATAGACCCGGTGTTAGACTCGCACACACAGTTTGAAACATGAAAAATTTTAGAAGCTTAAAACGATTTGAAAGGCACTCTAGAAGTCTAGGTTTTGAAAAATAATTTCTGATCATCATAATCACTTGTAGAGATCTATGAAAGGATAAATTGCTAAAATCTCCCTAAGTACTACATGTGAATTTCTGAGAAGGGGCCTAGACTCTGTATTAAAGTTTTGAAACACATCTTATGACTCATGGGAATTCTAATTTTTTACCCAATCCTTTTCCTTTCAGTAATTTCTGAGATGGTGTGGCTCCTTGCCATTCATCAGCGTGTCTCCCAACTTTGACAAAACTCTTAGCTTGTTTCCACCGAAAGCCCAGTGGTGGGTGGAGCCAAGGGCATCACTATCCCTGGGTTTTGAACTCTCTTGGTCTGCCAGAGAGCTACAATCCAGTTAACTCTTTTGACAACTTTTTCACATTTTTGGTTCATATTGATCAAGTACATAACCAAAAATGTTAACTTGGTTTTTTCAAGTATTATTAAGCTATAGTTTGCTCATCTTGGGTTTGTGAAGTCAAATATTAACCTAACATAGAGGTCACTTAAGGTTGGTCTTGTTACATTTAGTTCAAGACCCAGGTTGTTAGGTTCATTTGGGATTTGATTTTTCAATATATTAATCTCTGTCTCTCCCAGCCCCTGTCATGCTTGGATTTTATAAACAAGCCTCTGTGGCCTTACTGAAGTTCTCAAGAAACCCGGTAAAGGAAAGAGAGCTGTGGGCACGACTCCTAAGGACCTCTTTCTAGATGAGCTTTGCTAGTCAGCCCCTTCAAGGGAGTGTTCACCGGCTGCACGTCTATCTGCTCAGCCCTGGCTCCCCCTCCTTGTTAATATAGACCCCATAAGAAATATCTGAAAGGCTGCCTTCCTTAAAATTAAATCTTAAAATCTACGTTGTTTCATATTACTGCAAAACTCTGTATTTGCCACATATATTTTACTTTATATGCTCGGGATATTTTACATATCAAAAATTCAGTCAGTCTTCATTTTACAACCTCTTTTTACATTTTCTCTTACCAATGTGAAATTTTCAATTTACCAATGTGAAATTTTTCATGATTCCTTTTCCCAAACTTCCACCAACATACACTGTCTCCTCTCGTGCCACGAGTCTAGCTGGTCCAAAGGCTACGATGTCTGACAGTAATTCGCTGAAGTACCACATTTCGATTGCTTCAGCACATTTCAATCAGGATGCCTTTGAGGTGAGAAAGAAAAAGAAATAGAGTGAGAGCCAGGTGATGCTGAAATAAAAGCCACATGAAAGTCCAGGATGAGAAACACCTTTGGACAATAGAAAAGGGAAAAAAACAAACGAAGAATTCTCAGGAACAACTTGACTCTATCTTTGACTTAAAGTAAATATTCATAAGATGCACACGTGTATATTCCAATGCTTGAGTTTAAGTGGAAGATTTCCAAAGTCTCTAAGATTATGAATGAACCTAATGTGAGATATTTTTCCAGAAGTAATACTGTAATAGTGGAGATGTAATTTATACTAGTCTTTCTGTTGGCAAAAAACATTAAAAAAAAAAATCTGACTTAAGCAAGAATGGAATGTACTGGTTTGCATAGTTTATAGCCCAGAGGCTGGCCTCACATTGGGCCTGGTCTGATCTTAACAATGATGTCATTAGGCCCGGGTCCTTCTGGTTTACTTTTTCCTTGTGCTGGTGCCATTTTCAGGTAGGTACTCTCCTTTTCATGTCGAGATGTCTGCAGACTCACACACTCAGAGCCCAGGCCCAGAATCAAAGACAATTTTTCCTCACATTACTTCTGCCCAGGAGTAGTAAGTTGAATAATGGTCACCCAGGGGTGGCGCCTGTGGCTCAGTAGGGCACCAGCTCCATACACTGAGGATGGCAAGTTCGAACCCAGCCCCGCCCAAATTGCAACAACAACAACAAAAACAGCTGGGCATTGTGGTAGGTGCTTATAGTCCCAGCTACTCGGGAGGCTGAGGCAGGAAAATCGCCTAAGCCCAGAAGTTGGAGGTTACTGTGAGCTGTGATACCACAGTACTCTACCAAAGGTGATAAAGTCAGGCTCTGTCTCTAAAAATAAATAAACAAATAAAAAATAATAGTCACCCAAGGATGTCAAGTTCTAATTCTGAAACCAGAAAATTCTACCTTTATAGAAAAAACAACAACTAAAGAAACCCAGTTATCTTTGAAGATGTGATTACTTTAAGAATCTTGACATAAAGGTTTAGCCTGAATTTTAGAGGTGTCCCCCAAATGCAATCACAAATGTTTCTATAAGAAAGAGGCTCCATTCACCACCAAGGCAGAGACAGGTGTGATAGGCCACAAGACAAGGAATGCCACCAGCCAGCAGAATCTGGAATCAGCAAGGAACAGATTCTCTCCTGGAGCCTCTGCAAGGAATATGGTCCTTCTGATACCCTCATCACCTTGATTTTGGCTCAGTGAATCAAATCCTGGTCTTCTGGCCTCCATAACTGAGAAAATAAATTTTGCTTGTAAATTATTATGACAGCTACAGGGAACGATACACCAGGTATAGTGAATGGCTCTCATTTGACCACCTGAGTCCCAAGGCTGACTTGGACCAAATCGCTGTGCAACAACAGAGTGGCCTGGGTTATGCTGGGTGTCGGGGGGGGGTCCCCACAAGGAAGACATAACTGGAAATAGATGCTGGTGGGATGAGGAGGCAAAAATCCAGCATATATTCATTTCATGCTTGACAGAAGGGAGGTGCAAAGCTCACACTAATGCATAAGAATATTGTGGCATTAGTGCACTTGAGCTTGTGTTGCTGTGATGCTGGTGTTAAGCAGCGTACCATTGAGATGCCCTGAGTTGAACAGGGACCACTCACTGAAAGAAGATTTGTTTTAATTGCTAATTGCTGGACTGTTTCCAACTCTGATATGACTCCTTTTAGAGAAGTCGTGTGTTATAATCACGTGTGT